ATCATCAAGATCATAAGCTTTGATGATTGCCATTGTTTCGGCTAAGCTCAATCGGTTCAGGTCTTTAGTCTTTTTAATCACTGAGACATTCATGTCCCAGGATTTTAGAAGAGAATTTAGCAGCTTTTTGTTGATCTCGGACCTTGTAACCATCACACCCGCGGAGCTCATTTCAGTGGTTAGTGTGATAAACCTTTGCAATTGATTTTCCAGTGTTTCTCCCAAGACGTAGTTGAACATGTTGAATTTTTGTCGGAGCATGTCTTGTCTACTTTGCTTCATGTCTTCATTTCCTTCGTAGACTTCTATTAGTGCTTCCCATAATGCCTTTGCTGATGTGTATTCACGAAATCCTTGAGCAATCTCAGGAGACAATGCCATGGTGAGTGTAGCTAGTGCCTTTTCTTGTTCCTCGACTCTCTCAAAGTCATCATCAGTGTAGTTTTCGACCTGTTTGTCAGTTACAGTGCCATCTTCTAGAGTTGTTGTAATCCGAATCGGACCTCTTAAAATACTTCTCCAAATTTTGAAATCTTTCATCTTGATATATTTTTCAATTCGATATTTCCATTCAGGAAATCCTTCTGCTCACAGCAATCGGGGAATTCGAGTAGTAGTTCCCATAATTGCATCCAATTCTTGATGAGCAATCATGCTTTGAGGTTCCATTTTGACAAACTTAAATGACTGTTACCAAATTACGCTTAATTGCACACGTAAATCCAACCGCACACTAAGCAGCACACTCAACAGCACTCGAATTCAATACAGTAAGTGTAACCGCACACACTCACCAGCACACAATTCTTAACAGCAAACACAACCGCAACCGCACACACACTTTAACAGCACACAAGTCTCAACCGCACACACTTTAACAGCACACACTTTAACCGCACACCCTTTGATAACTCAACTGCAAATCTTCAAGAACTCAACCGCAAACCTTCAAGAACTCAACCTCAAACCTTCAAGAACTCAACCGCAAACCTTCAAGAACTCAACCGCAAACCTTCAACAGTCAACCGCAAACCTTCAACAGTTGCGAAAAGAAAACGACGTTTTTTACCCTTTTTGCTCAAAAACTTGATCAAAAACTCGTTTTTATGGAAAATGCAAATAAGAAACCCCCTTTATTTTGCCCCGATCTATCCAAAAACGCAAAAATCTTTTTCAAAATTAGATCAAATAAGCTCCAGATCTGACAAAATTGACTGATACAACCTTCGAATTGACACTGAATTTGGCTCTGATACCAATTGTAAGTCCACAAATATGGATCCAAATCAGTAATCAATGAAGCAAATATCAATCAAAAAGAATGTAGAAGGAGTAGAAGAGAAATAACATCAAGCATGCACACATCTATTGTTCATAAATGTCAGGTACACCTTGAAAGTACACACACTGCACTGTTCAGCAACTCTTGTATTCTGACACACATCACCTCCTATAAATAGACCCCTCACCAGCACATAAGTGTGCAGCCACACACGTGTGTGCGGCCGCACACACTGTGTGCGGCCGCACACACTTGTGTAGCTGCACACATAATTGAGTTTGTACACATACACCAAGTCTAAAACCACTATACTGCATTACATACACTGTCACCCTAATAAGATCTATACAAAATTAATGCCTAGCTCAAACCACAATATTATGGACTTTCAAGTGCCGATCTCAATTGTGTCAGACCGAGATGTACGTTTCACTTCCAGGTTCTGGAAGAAGTTCCATGAGGAGTTGGGAACGAGATTGCACTTCAGTACTGCTTACCACCCACAGACGGATGGACAGAGTGAGCGGACGATTCAGACGCTCGAGGACATGCTTCGAGCATGTGTTATGGACTTCGGGGGAAGTTGGGACACATACCTACTTTTGGCTGAGTTTTATTATAACAACAGCCACCATTCGAGTATAGGTATGCCTCCCTTTGAGCTTTTATATGGGAGGAGGTGTCAAACTTCCATCTGTTGGGGAGAGGTAGGGCAGCAAGTGATGGGTAGCACTGAGATAGTGCTTAAGACGACTGAGCAGATACAGCAGGTCAGACAGAGGTTGATGACAGCCTAGAGCCGCCAGAAGAGTTATGCGGACAGGCGGCGATCCGAGCTCGAGTTCCAGGTTGGAGATTTCGTACTCCTGAAGGTATCTCCTTGGAAAGGAGTGATCCGATTCAGGAAGAGGGGCAAGCTGGGGCCCCGATACATTGGTCCGTTCAGGGTGACCGCGAGAGTGGGTAAGGTAGCATACCGTTTAGAGCTACCTGCGGAGTTGAGCCAGATTCATGATACCTTCCACGTATCCCAGTTGAGGAAGTGTATAGCCGATGAGACAGCAGTAGTGCCGCTAGAGGATATTCAGGTGGATGCGAGCCTGAATTACATTGAGAGGCCGATCGCGATCTTGGATCGGAAGATCAAGGTTCTGAGGAACAAGGAGGTGCCTCTGGTTCAGGTCCAGTGGCAACATCGGAGAGGGTCCGAGCTGACTTGGTAGCCGGAGACGGAGATACAGGAGCAACATCCAGAGTTGTTTGCAGAGTAAGACTTCGAGGGCGAAGTCTGATTCTAGTGGGGGAGAATTGTAACATCCGTATTTCCAGGTATCATAATTTAAGTATTTATTTTTGAGTTAAGAAGAGGGACTCGACGAGTTGACGCCTAAACTCGCCGAGTAGGATCAAGACTGATGACTCGGATTAATGAATAGACTCGACGAGCCGGTGAGTCGACTCGACGAGTCCGCGATGTGGACAGAAACCCTAAATCTTTGGGCATGTGCCCTATTTAAGGGACCTTATGGCCTTCATTGGCGGCCACACACACACACTTGAGAGACCCTAACGAACCAGAGAGCATAGAGAGTGAGGGAAGGAGCTAATTACATCACCATTAGTGCATTCTTGCAAGAAGGAAGGAGGGGATTCAAGCTAGGTTGATTGAGGAGCTCAGATCTACTATCACTTCTTCAAAGGTTGCTGTTTGAGGTATGAATCCATACCTATTTTCGTGTATATAGTAGATCTCATGAATCTAGGGTTTCTTTACCCCTTCTTTAGTTGGAATATGGAGCATGTTGAGTCCCCTTGAGGAATAGACATTAGATCTGGACCTTGAGAGGTCCAGAGAGTCCCAATCATCCAGCTTTATGCAGTCCCATTGGGGTTTTGAGTCTAGGTTGTCATTTTAAGAGCTATTTCTTCAAATAGAGCTTGTTGTGTGGTGCATGGACATAAATATTGAACCTTTACGTGACTTTTGGGTGCTAGAAGGCCAGATCTATAAGTTAGAGAAACAGATCTGACCTCAGAAGGTCAAATGAGTGTTGCCATGGAGGAAACTCGCCGAGTCCATAAGAAGACTCGACGAGTCGGATCGGGTTGCCCCGCGATTCGTGATCAGTGATAACCCGTCGAGTGAAAGGTTAACTCGACGAGTCGAGTGAGGCCTTAGGAGGATTCTGAGGACAGGCATGGACTCGCCGAGTCACCTGAGTGCACTCGGCGAGTCTGGTCAAAGTTAGACCGTGGACTGGAGTTGACTTCAGTTGACCTTAGGGTTGGTCAAACTGATTCAAGAGGGGTTATGGAGGGGTAGAATGGTTTTCTACCCATTCTTTAGAGATGAGGATATAAGGAGAGTATTGATTAGAGATATTATCATTTTGATAGGCGGAGGCTAGATCGGGGATATCGAGCATGAGAGTTTACTAGACATCATACGAGGTGAGTCTTCTCACTATACTTTACCTAGAATGGTAACTATGTGTGACCGGAAGGTCTTATGTATATGTATGAGTTATGTGACTTATGTGAGATGTTTACTATGATATGTATATGCTGAATGAATTGGGCCGGAAGGCAAACAGAGTTGGGGCCGGAAGGCAAGGCATGGTAGGGCCGGAAGGTCTACCAGAGCTGTGGGACCGGAAGGTCCCACTGAGACACATTGACCGGAAGATCATGCGATGCTATAGCCTCGAGAGGATATTACGTGAATGTGGTATTTTGGGGAACTCACTAAGCATTTATGCTTACCGTGTTATGTGATATGTGTTTCGGGTACTAGCGAGGATTGCGGGAAGGCGCCGGCATGATTTGTACACACCGACAGAGGGTTTTGTATTTGAGATTCTGGGATATGTTTTATTGTGATAACATTTGATACACTTGAGTTTTGAGATGATTTTAATGAGATATGTTATGTTTGAAAAATGAAAAATTGTTTGAAAATTTACTTCGTTACACCATATCGGTACCCAAAACAAAACTGGAACCGGTTACTTTATACCAGTCCAGTTCTTGGGTCTTCTTAACCTTCAATTCTGGTTTCCAGGGGTTTCTGGTGTCGGGCCTATTCAGGTAGGTTGGTCCTGAACCACTTTAATCCCTATTGTGAGGTGGATAAGTCTGGATAAGAGACTGAAGGTTTTACTTCCTAGTTATCGGTGACGACTCATGCAAGGCCATATATTTATTAAATGAAAGTTAATTCTAAGCCTTAAATCAAAACCATTAACCACAAACCATAAGGGATGAAACTTATGCACACTAAAATTTGTTTTATTTGTATTGCGACGGTTACAACTATTTATCGCATAAAGACCGATAACAATATGTATCTACATTGTGTTACTTGAAAATAACATGTTTCAAAATGAAACTAATTGTCAATAAAGTATTCACCCCTGCCGCTTTGCGCGGGTACACCACTAGTATATATATATATATATATATATATATATATATATATATATATATATATATATATATATATATATATATATAGGTAGAATTTCGTATATGCCCTTGCTAAACATCTATATATCGTATTTGCCCGGACTAAACTCAAAATATCGTATTTGCCATTGTTAATGTTTTTTAATATCATATATACCCAAATCTATTTTTTTGATAATTTTTATTAATTTATAATTCTTTTTTATAATCTTAAATCATTATAATAAAAAACCAATTTTGAATAGACAACATTGCCCTCACTTCTAAATTTCAATACAACAAACATGTTCACAGGAGATTTACGATCGTAGCTTCCGTATCCCTGTCATGTTGTTGTAGCTTCCCTGTTAATAATTCCTTTCGATTGCAACCTCCTATTCGCTTCTATTGTCGCACACAAACGCATCACGCACGCATCAGGTATCGATTCAACCTATTCCTATTTCCTCTCTCCAATCTCGTTGTTGTTCATCATCAGATTCTCACCTTCCTTTTCCCCTACTGTTTGCCAATGCCTACACATTGATAAGACACCATAAGTAAATGCAATTTTGCTATAATGATTAAGAATCGAATTGCTTACTGTTATGGTTCTTGTTCTTTAGTGATGAATTTCTTCTTTCCATCTTTATTGACTTCCGCATCTTCTCCTCCTGCAAAATTACCAAAAACCCATCTCTTGAACAACAAAAAGACTCGAATGAAGATCAAATTGAATAAAATACTGTAACTTGATGATGAAGTGGAAATGGCGATATTGTCAACCATGGTTTCACAGGTTTCAAAAGGGAAGGTGTGTCTCGAGATATAGTGTCTCGTGATAACTTGAAATCACCACCACACTACCTGTTGTCTGTTGTATAAATGTAAAATTAGAAAATCCAAAACCAAAATTAAGCATGTGGTTTTGAGTTCTGGCCTAAAAGAAGAGCATACATGGAAAAGGAATTTCGAAATTGATACAGGGACTTCAACAATTCGAGATTCCAGATGTGTATGTAACCTATTCATCAGTTGTAATCCCAAACTGAATGTTCAATTGACAAAGAAAACTATAAAATTACCAAATAACTGATATCAGAAGGGTTAAACATAATGATCATCTGTCAATCGACCATCACAGCGAGAAGGCAAAACAAAACAAAAAAAAAACACAGTCAAAAGGTTAAACATGATGATCATCTGTCAATCGATCATCATAGCAGCCATATGAGATTTTTGTGATGTGTTATATGTGTGTGAGACAACAGGGGGAATTTCTAATCTGGTGCAATCGTTGATGCGTGTGTGTGACAACAGGAAGAACCGGTGATGTTGATATGAAGGCTGTTATCGTGATTTGTGATGCATTGGGCAATTGTGATATGAGGTAGTAAGTAACAAGGACAATATTGTCCATTTAAAATGTGTTTTTAATTATAATGATTTACGATTATAAAAAAGAATTATAAATCATTAAAAAGTATCAAAAAATAGATTTGGATATATATGATATTAAAAAACATTAAGAAGGGCAAATACGATATTATGAATTTAGGTCGGGCAAATACGATATTTAGATGTTTAGCATATATATATATATATATATATATATATATATATATATATATATATATATATATACCTTAATAAGCATTTAGCCTCAAATGCTGAATTTTAAGAGGTATCAAAGGTTTATGCAATATTTACAATAATTTTATGCATGAAAATCTTATTTAGTCTATAAAAGTCAAAAGTCAAAGTAAGGGCGTCTCTTAAATGTATCATTCCTGAACAAACTCTTCGAAAACATGAATAAGTCAAAATTGAATCGGTATTTTCTCACATTATTCAGCCCGATTGAATCGGTCAACATAGATACAATCTATATGACATCTCCTCTCTTAGTTCTGTCAACATGGTTTACCACTCACCATCGCTATCTCTCTCTCTAAAAAACCCCTATAATCCATCAACACCATCACTCATCTTCTATAAAAAAAATTACCATAAACACTGGATGAAGTCACATTCTTCGCTACCAGGTCCCTCTACTGTTGATGTTTCCATAAGAATAGACCACTCACGTAGAGTGAAGACCCAAAATTCTCTCATGGCGTTATTGAAGCTGTTTCAGATCTAATTAGTTGTGTTATTTCTTCTCAAGATGATGATTCTTCTTCTTGTATGGATGTGATTGACCACAGATTAAGAGGTACATCGGTTGGGAGGGGATTTTTCCATACTTACAAAACACGATTTTGAATTGTTGACCAAAAAAATTGTTGAATAACATTTCATAAATCTTTGGGTTTTTTTATTGCTCAATTTCTATGCCCAATTTTGTTTTTTAGGCGATTTTATGATAAATTTCTAACTTTATTTTTTCTGTTTTTTATTTTATGTTTTTTTGTCTGATATGCAGAGTTTCGTAAGTAATCTGCAAATGAAAGATTGAAAGTGTCATTTTTTGTTTATCTACTCATTACTTGTGTGCAGGAAACCACGAATGGTTGGGATATCAGGAAGATGATGGCTAAGAAGAGCGAATTCGACTTCAAAAAGGTGAAATCAGCCAAAGAACCTTGAATTGGCTTCAAAATCGATTTCAGTTGCAAGTATTTCCTATTGTTCATGATTTTGAAATATTTTTCTTGCACCAGGCCCTAATCCTTACTCTCTATCTCGATTTCAATCCCTAATACTAACCTCGATCGTGATTTTGTAGCTAGCAGACATCCTATTATTTTTCTCTACATACCAACCATCTCTTTGTAAAGTCAAGTCAACTTTGACTTATTCCATATTTTCTATTTTCATGCATTAGTCTCTTTAATATGTTCTATGTTTAGTTGTTCATGGGTAAAGTTGTCAAAATCCCCCAAATGAGAAATGACTTCATGCTTCATTTGAACCAAAATATAAGGGGATAATTCGCCAAAACTCCGGTATATTTTAAATCATTCATGACAAAAAAAACCGAAATGTGATATGGTATTATGTAAATGTTGTGTATTTTTGGGGCAGCAGTCGTTCATGTAGATAAGTCTCATCAAGAAATAGATTGGGTTCTGAATCAATTCCTTTCGGTAAAGTCACATATATTAGTTCCCACAAATGTTGATACACTAGACCTTAACATCAAGGATGTAAGGTCAAGCTCCATGAAAAACATAATTAAAAACAAGACTTCTGAATAATTTTCTTATGAAGGAGGTGATGATGCCATTTTTTATCAAGGATGTTAGACGACTGGCTCCGGCTTCAAGTAACTTATTTAAAATATTAAAATATTTTAGTAACTTTTTAAGTGTAAAAAGAAGATTTTGCATAAAAAAGGAATTCATGTTGAAATTTGTTTTGTAAAATGGCTTATATTGGGCTTTGAGAAGTTGATGGCAGGAATGACAAACACACTATTAGAAGTGGAAATTTACCTGCACCAAACACACCACATGTAATAATTACATATATAAGAGTTTATAATCATGAGTTGGTAATTGTTGTATTACTTGATTTGTAGAAAATTTAACCAGATTGTCAGAGTTGCTATTGAGTTCTTGATCTTTGAGAGTGTTTTTGAATCAATAACCATCAATTAAGGTACCAATTCTGAAAGTACAATGCCATCTATAGCAGTTCTGAAAATGCAATGTCATTTTAAAGTGACCATTTTAACTTGATATATTTTTAATCTATTTTTTGTTGGTCAATTAGTTAATTTTTTTAATTAGTATTTTAAAATGACCATTTATACCCTAAATAGAAGCAACTTTTTTGTTTATTCGAGTGATTTTGTTTATAATAGAAGCAGCTTTTTTCTGTCACTCTACAATGAAGGTAATGAGACTCCAGGATACCATGGAGGCTTTTTCATGTGATCTTGTTTTTAATAGAAGAAAGCTTTTTTGTATGTGGTAGGTAGCATGTTTTTTTTCTTTTTGTGTGGCCCAATAGCAAATTAAAAGCACTAAAGTTCTATTTATTTTGTTTATAATAAAGTATGTTGAGGGTCAAACATATTTGATGTCCTTTATGTTTCTCTGATTTTTTAGAGGTTCTAAATGTTTAAAAAAATAATTTTATCCGTTAATTTTATTTTTCATTGTTTTTAAAGGTTCTGTGGAAATTTGAACACATGCAAACTAACTTTTGTCCGTTAAACTGGTTTATATATATTCTCACTGTTTTTTGAGGTTCTAAATACTTGAAAATAGGAATTAATGGTTCTAAATTTGATTGTCATTTGTCAAGGTTTTCTATTCTATTTTATTAGGTATGGTATGGTCTTCAACAAGTGCAAATCAGTAGTTCGATTAAATGTATTTTTATGTTTCAGGTTGTAAGAGAGGGGTTGTATGATCACTAATGTTCGCCGCAAAATTCCACCAAGCTTCGAGATATTGTAGGTCTCTTCTTTAATATGCCATATTTCTTTTCATGTGAGCCATGTGTCCTTTTTTTTAACTAAATGCTATATGGATTAATGATCCATGCACTACTCTTTCTTTTATGCAAAATCCGTGGGAATGGTAATACAACAGTTTGGATTCCAAAATTTTTTAACTAAATATTATATGTATAAATGATATATTTTATCTTAGAACCAATCTTAGGGAATTGTAATAATAACTTATGTGAGACATAATTGACTTTGATTCCAAAATTAATTTCATTGAACCTTCCATTATTCATATATAATTTTTAAAACGTTCGGTAAGTTTTGAACTTTCCATTATTCATAAGTTCACTATTATTATTTGTAATAAATTTGAGATTTGAGAATACTTATACCCCTAATGGTAACATCAATTTTTACGTGTAATGTCCAAAGAAAAAAAAAAGACAAACATTGTATTAAAATTTAGTTGCTACTAAGTCGAAGGTTTTTATATGTATGAGTTTTGATTAAGAATTTGATTTAGGTTTAACTGTAACAAATCCGTAAATCCGTCCGACCGGACCGGACCAGAAAAAAAAAAACCAGGACCAGACCCAGACCGAACCGGAAATGCCTATAAACGGGCCAGTTATCGATTCCATTTTTTTGTGAAATTCGGGTTTCAGTTAAAACCCGGACCGAACCGGTGGTCCAGTGGAAGAAATGGACCGGACCGGTCCAAACGACTGTGACTTTTAATTGAAATTTATAGGCTATAGCTCATAGGATGCAGCATATAGGGATCATATATGTGATAAGGAATAGTTTTTGCCCCTCCCATACACAACAACACAAAAATAATTTATTTTGTTTCTTCCTTGGTGATCGACGACAACACACAAGATAGTAAAATTGTTTTTGAGAGCTAAACCGGTCAAACCAAACCATGAAACACCTTTCACCCTTGGTATTTAAAAATTATTGTTTCATGTTCTGATCACTAAATAAAATATAAATTATTGGTATTTCTAGGATTTAGTATAATATTTTGGTAATATGAAGTTCAATCGATCTTTGTTTTTATAGTTAAGCGCCTAACTACAAAAACAAATTTAAGTAGTTAATGTCAAAACATAATTTAAGTAATTGTTTTTACAAAAAATGCAAAGTGAAATATAATGGTGTCCATGTGTGACTTGTGCAATTTCTTTAAACTTCATAATTCTTCACTTCAAATTACAAATTAACGTATAAAAATGACTATTATTTTCGGTTGATATCTATTTTAAAAAATGAATAGCTTATATTGTTAGTTTATAATAAAATTATAAACTTTGTTTGGTACATGGTTATTACATGTGTTAGTATATATGAAGCCCAAAACAAATGGTCCAAACAAATATTTAGCCCAACAAATGATACAATTCGGACTAAAAACCGAAACTCGGTAGGTGATCTGGAACCGGACCGGACCCAAATCAGAACCGGCATATCCTAAACGATCTGGTTTTCGGTTAAGGTAATTCATGAATTTCGGGTTTCGAGTTTTCAGTCTTCGGGCCGGTTCGGTATGGGTTTGGCCTGTTGCTCATCCCTAATTAAAAGTGAAAACATACTTAAATCCCAAGTATCAAATCATAATTAACTAAAAAAATACTTAATTCAATAACTATTTATAATGACCTATAATAGCAATGTAAATAGGTTACTATAGTAATTTAGATATTGCTATTTTTGGTAAAAATAAAAGAGTTGCAAATTGTTCTATTATCGGTAAATAGATCTAAGTATATTTTTCTTATGGTTAAGTGTGTTGTCTATATTGGTAAAACAAAGGAGGTTGTTTTATTTTATTAAAGTCTACATAGGTAATTTAGGTTGGAACTAAAGCAGAAAGAAAACCATTTGAATGCTCATTGTAAGTTGACATTTCTGAAAAAACTATTTGTACCCGTCGCATGACGCGTGTAAACGGCTAATATATATATATATATATATATATATATATATAGATATATATATATATATATATATATATATATATATATATATATATATATATATATATAGAGAGAGAGAGAGAGAGAGAGAGAGCTAGGTTCAAATGTTTTAACTAAGTATTGTGTTATTGTATGCATAAATATGGGCCAATCAAAATTAAATAAAAAATTAAATAATTAAATAATTAAATAAATAAATAAGGGTAATTTAGTAATTTGCTTAATAAATTCCAAAAATAATCCCTATAATCATGGTATCTCTCCAGTTTAAATCTCGTTCTCCTCTTTATCTAAAAACCGATTCTGAAAACCCTAAATTGAACAAATCGACACCAGCGACCCTTCATCGTCTTCTTCATAGATCGGGAGAGGGAAGAATCAAGCGATCAAGCATCGAACAGAGGTGGTCTTGGTGGTGGTAATCGATGTTCTCCCTTTCTTCCTTACTGATCATCACGTCTTCTTCCTTACTTCGAATGTCGATTTCTTCCCCCATCGCCTACGGTTCTACTGTGTCGATTTCTGCGTTTTTTTTTCAATAAGAACCTATTACTGCAAAGTTGGAGATGTCGTGGATTACGCAAGCCTGGAGGTGGGTTCTTACGCCCAAGAGATAATTCTTCCCGCAGATTCAGTTCTCGATAGGTCCAGAATCGACCCCGACGATCCAGATTCTGAATCCGTTGAAACGATCAGAGGCGAAATCGAGATCAGTATCTGTACATCGACTCATA